AGCCATCGGGCCGATCCCCGCACCACTCGCATCTCCATCCAACAGCACACCTACCATCTATTGCCTGCCGACACCCACCAACATACGACCCAATCATCCGGAAGCGGGCACGGGACCTCCGGGACCCTGGTGGGATGATGCTGGAGCGCCACCGTGAGAGAGCGCCGGACCTAATTCAAGGTCTTTGATTCTATGTACATGGTTTCTGACCCAATGCCTTCAGTGTATTGACCCTTCCAGCTATGAGAAAATATTTACAGTATTGATTCTTTGTTCATTCGTATTTTGCTCTTCGAGATTTTCTGACGCTTGCCACTTGAGCTTCGATCGACTTTACAAGTCACAATTTTGACTTTTCTCCAGTCTCATTTTTAACTTCTCAGCCATTGTGGTTCAAACCATCAGTTTCGACTACCCTCGTGCTTATTGCTCCTTCTTGTACGGAACTACAATATTTCCCATCATGGACGCACATCAACAATGGTGGCAACAGTACTATGGCAGCACCACGACACCCACTGCCGGCTATGGACCTCTCACCAATGCAGTTCGTCATCACTACCAACACCCCTATCACCAGCATCACCAACATCACGCCAACATTCCAGGTGATACACCCACTGCCTCTCCAGCACCACCAGCAACGTTTCCACCTGAACCCCTGCCCCCACCTGCAACATCTCACCACCCAACGCCTCCACAGCTTGGTGTGGTACCCCCCAACATCCCCAACCTACCTGACACATGGACTCCTAGCGACACACATTTGGATACAAATACCGTACATGGTCACACATTGTTTCGGACAATTCAGCCGACGCAATGGTCCAGGAAATACAACCTCGCAGGACAACAAGTCCTCGACATTTTCCCATGGCAGCTCAGCCGTTTTGGCCTCCAGGACCACAGCCTACGCATCCTGTCCCAAGGACGCTACACAGGCATTGTCACCACCAGATCTATCGCGGAAGCGGTCTTCACTTCACAATTGCTGCCAGAGATGAGGGCCCACAACCTGGACATCGACAACATCGCGGAATATTTGCACCAACAAGCAGATCAGTCCATTCCAAACAAAACCACAGAAGCCAAACAATTCATGCAACCACTTATTTCTCGCATCATTGATTTTCTACGAGGCCTTACACCACCAGCCGGCGAAGGCACAGCACTCCGAAAGCTCCAGCAACAGACAGATCGCTTACAACAACAAGAGAGCGAACTCCAGCGCGCTCGCGACAAGCTGAAGAATCATGGCATTGCACTCACACCAACCAAGCCAGGGTCGCACCATACCCCATTACCCGCCACCCACACACCGCATCTCCCACTCCCAGCCCCTACCGCCATCACAACCACGACCATTCTCAATCCCACCACACAAACACTCCATGACAACTCACCAGCCAACTATGCAGCCGCTGGCATTCAGAAATGGCTCAAGACATTGCCACCAGCCACTCAGACACAAGTCACCAACATCCAGCAGATTCTACGAGATGAACATATCACCAAAGAACAACTCCAAGAAGCAGCTACCCGCTACGGCATCCCGCTGGCTCGGGTCCTCAAGCTTCCTCCACGTTCACTACAGCAACTGGTCGCCGCGGGTTCGGCATTGGCAGCCTGACTCGTACAACAAGCGCTGCATCAACCAACACATCACACCCTACAATCTTTAACAACATTACACACAGCACTATCACACTTTGTCCACTTCACCCCCTACATTGACAAGTCACACGCTATCTTTTCTGTCAGTCTTATTCACCTTACATGCCTCTTTGCCTTTCCTTCGCAAACACATCACTCTATACAATGGCGCACCCGTTTCAACCAACTACAAGTTACACCACACACTTATCACTACCAAATGTTCACACATCCCAATGCGGTTTATGCCAAGCTCTTTTTCAACCAACATCACACAAGACACCAGTACCACCAACATGGACATACATACATCGGCTCTACCAGCATCACTATCCCCAAGCGAGAATACAATCGTCACGCAAAACTCAAACAATTACACAATAACCACCCCATTTCAGCTGAACTTTCTCTACGCTACTGGCACTCCAAGAACAACCTCCACCACTACAGCACTATTTACCTTTCCCATCACGACACCTATGATCAAGCATGGACCTACGAACACCTGCGGATCCAAGAATGGCAACCCACACTCAATTGGCCCTATATCCAAAGACACCTCAAACTCAAAGCCTCAGGTTGGCAATTTTCAAAACATCGCACCAACTTCACACGGATGTCCACTCACAAACGTCTCTTCCAACGGCTCCGACGACGACACACCATCAAGCAACCCCACCTTCACACAAGTCAACGCCTACACGCCCTTACAGTTTTACGCGAGCTCAGCAAACATACACTTTCATCTTTTCAAACATCAACAGCCATCCGCAGCGGCAAATACACTGATCTTGAAATTTACGCTTTCCGTCGAATGGCCGCCAGCTTAGAGGAACCAGATCGATCACGTGTTCTTCACCTTCTCCACTCAGCGCTCAGCTTTCGCAATCTCACTCCACCCAAAGCCAACAAACCCTTTACCATTCCTTTCCTCTCCCACAATACCTTCTCGTCTTCCACAGAAAAATGGCTTCGCACACTGATCCAACACCACATGCATCACGTCATTCCCTTCCACCCCCCTACTACCAAACTACGCGAAGCAGCACACAAGACTTTGCGTTCCCGGCTCTACAACCACAAACGTTGGGAAGAACTCTTCTCCACACATCCCACAGCCGCCGACATGCCATGCAGCTGCCACCACATGCACACCTTGCTTCGTCCCAACCACACACCACCACTCTACGATGGTCACTACGTCCTTACACTTGAAGACCTACAGCTCCCCAGCCATCTTGAACTATTCCTACAAGCCAACATGAACAGCACTTTCTTTCCCACAAAGACGCAATATTTCCAACACTTTGAACAACAACTCACTTACTGGCTACGACACCATGGTCTACCCACTGCCCTCCATCAACACAGCCTACCTTTTCTACACCAACAATGGAAACAACACATCGACAATCTTCTATACACGCCCCGCTTTACCTCCCGCAACGTGACACAGCTTCAACAGTTTCTTGCAGACAAGCTGGTACTCCATCATGCTGACCATGAACTACAAAACCTACGACTCTTTTGCCCACAGCACTACTTCCACGGATGTCTCACCACATGGAATACACCACAACTTTTTCTCCCACTACCAGATCTCACAGCCCAACAGCTCCACCAATTTCTCACACAATCCTTCCCAGCCAGCATTCGCAAAGCATACCCCTGAGGCTTTCGCACAAAATTCTACACACCACATGGAGTAGTTTTCCTCAAACAAAAGAAATCCTGGCGAAAGGGTAGAACAGTCATCAGCTACTTCAGATCCATCGCAGGCACATTATTACGAGCCACCTCCAAGGCACTAGACATTATGCTCCTTCATCTTCTACCACAACATCCAGGCCAATTATCTATACCCAACCTTTGGCAACACCTCCACAACCATTTCCAGACCACACCCGAAGACATCCACCTCACACCGATCAACGATGACCTTGTCGGCTTCTTCAACAGCGTACCTCAACAACGCCTTGTCGACGCAGTCATCAGCCTATGCAACCGCTGGAAAGCACAACACAACACCACTACCATTACCATCGATGTCCAGTCTACCGGCAATCCCATCCAACACTCACACATCGGTCGTCACTACATCCACCACCCACAACAACGCACCCTGGACACACAACACATTCCTCTTATTGTTCAGCAAGCCCTTCACTCATGCATTTTCCAAGCTTGCAACACCTACTACAAACAAATTCAAGGAGCCGGCATTGGCAGTCAGCTCTCACCAGCACTTTGCAATGTGGCAATCACGCTCATCGAACACACTTGGCAAACCACATATCACACCTTCCTACACCAACCAAGCCTTCACTTGCTCAACACTCGCTATGTCGACAACCGATACATCTTGCTCAACGAACAATACAGATCAGCACTCCCCATCACTACATTGGCCCATCCTGAATTTTATGAACAACCAGTTGAAATAGAGCCAGTGGACGACGACCATCTACTCGGTTTCTTGATTGACCCTCTCAACAGAACCGTCACCTTCCAACTCCCCACCCACCCCTGGCAGATTCGTGATCCGCAGTCAGCAGGGAGTCACAGACTACGCCTTTCAGGCTTACAATCACGCCACCACACACTACAAAAATACACTTACCCCAAACATCTCGCCCACACGACCGCACAGAAGTTGATGCAGCTATATATGGCCAAAGGCCATTCACCAGCACACTGCGCCGCGGCGCTGCGGCCAAGAGGAAAAAGACTATGTGCCGGCACTTTCGCAGACTGCTGTGACATGTATTTTACAGTATTGAACCTTTCCATGTCAAGCTCTTCCACTATTTATTTTCCACAACTTACCTGAACCGATCTAGTTGCGCCGATACGGCTCAGTGTGTGTGTCCACTCCTGTTTCCAAGGACACTACCCTAGTTTTTCTAATCTACCCTACAAGCTTTTTGTACAGAAGCAGGGGGCATGGCAGCTGTTTCCCTAGCCATGCCAACGAAGCTATGGGATTCAGCCGGAAGGGAATGTGGACGCACATTCCTGTACCTGCTATGTGAACTGTTTTCAAGCTGTTCCACTGTTTAGTCGCTGAGATTTCTAAGTCAGTGCAACGCTGTCTCATACGTTGTTTCCTGCAGTATCTAGATTTAAAGGGCTAATGCACACCGCGAAGCTACCTGAAATCACGCTCCACGGAGCAACCTTCTCAAGTGTGTGCATGATCCTGAACCCAGCACGACTCTATGGTCTCGGATTCCAACCTCAATTGATTCACTGGTGCTTCCCAAATAGACGCTCAAAACAGGTCCATCTGTCTGTCTGGAGTTTTCAGGACCCGGAAACCATCGGAAACCACGCTGCCGCCGCGGCACCAAGAGGTGGTGGCCCAGCTGAGGTAGCGTGCCCGATCGGTATCCAACAACTCGAAGAGCCGACCCACATCACGAGGGTTCCAACCCAGCATGAGGCAACCATCTCGGAACTCCTCTCATTGTGGCGCGCGCGCGCGAGCGGTGGCGCTCTCTCTTTCTCTCTGTGTTTCGCCCCGTTGTGTTTTAGCCACAGGTGTTTCGCAAGCTCTATGGAATCCACAGATTCTCAGTCTGTACTAGGCCTGTGGTCCCTCCAGACCTGGAACACTTTAGCAATCTCCGGACTTATTGTCTTGTGCTCCCAGACAAACCCGCCAAAAACCACCCAACATCATGAGGTGTGGGGCGATTAAAGAGGAAGAGAGGATGTCCTTGCGGCCTTTCTTAGAAAGGTTGTTCGGGTGCCATTGCAGCTTGACATTATCTGCAAGGAATGTTGAACAATCAAATCAAGACGTCCTACAACTCACGTGGTGCTAAGGCAGGTTCACGGCAGTGTACATGCAAATGAGTCGGATTCCTGAAAGGCTCAAACATTTGACTATCTAGAATGCATGTCGACCGGCATTTTTCCTGACACTTGTGCAACCAAAACAGAGGTTCCAAAATCGAGGTGGCACCTATCTGAGCACCAATCGGGATATGTTGGGAGGATGGGAAGACTTGCCGGTTGAGTTTTCCATAGTCTTCCTGCTTTTGATGGTCTAAGCTCCTAGCGTCCTAGCACTCCATTTGTTCCACTCCCCATATCGCTCTTTCTTTTGAAAATGAAGGTACTTTCCGCCAGGTGACAGTTGAGCCAGATTGTCAGTATAAAATTGTACAAGGCTTCAATTATATAATATATAGTAAAGCAAAAGGTGTGACAGAACATAAACAGCTTGGAGGCCTGACCTTTGCCATGGCCCCCTCCCCAACTCGTCAACACGCACGAGTTCGGTGTCTCCGGGTAAAGCACGCGGTCATCGTGGCGGATGTCGAGGGCCTCGTTCCAGAAGGCCATGAAGGAGCCTCGGAGACCCTGCTGATGTCCACCGGACCCCGAAATGGATGCCCGAAATGTCGCGATTTCGTCCTCTTCCCCCAAACAAAAAATGCGGCGTCTCAGGTGTCTCCTCGGTTTTTACGAAATCTTCTGAACGGGGGTCCTGTTTATCGCGTCCTTTCCGTATTTTTTTGGTATGACATGGTATGACTATGATGGTCATGAGTCATGAGCCCCCCCAAAAAAGCAAACATCGAGCCTCAGCAGGCTCAAATCCAGAAAACACTGAGCTTGGGATAGCTTGGGTGAGCCACCTGCATGCTTCAAGATGTTTCCACACGAGGAGCGTCCTTCTTCTCATGAGAAGAATGAATGCAAAACTCATCATCTGACTATCGGGTCTGCACATGCTCTTCTATGAGAAGCCTTCCTTCCAATCTGCTCGTAGCACGCTGCAAAATCCCTGAAATACCTGCTCTAACCTGCTGCTGTAGAAATGTCGTCGCAGGTAGGCTATGCTATAGGCTATACTTATACAATCTTATACACTTCATTTTTGGTGTGGCAGTTTGCCCAAGGGTCGTCTTTGAGATTCTGTGGGTATTTAATTTGCTGATATTTGATGCAATTTCTCTGTGATGGCATTTGGCCTACAGGGGATATCTTTTTTGGTCCATGCGATACTTAGGTCCTCCGGGCTTCGGGGTCATCCAGGCTGCGTCACCATTTTTAGGTACCGGATGTGTCTAACCACCATCAACTTGCAACTTGCAACTCCTGGATGTGTTCCAACCAGTGCCCCTACACACTACAACAACGTCGTTCCTCTTCATCTTGGATCTGCCCAAGGTGCCATAGCTGGATTTGGCCGAGTCCACGAACTCCCGCAAAAGGCGGGCGGTTTCCCCATCCAACTCCTCGGTGTGACGAGCGCGCCGGCTCCGTCGACCGCACCGGACCGCAAGGGTGGCCTTCCATGGTCCAATTGGTGTTCAAAAAAGCGGCGCAGAGGGCCATCGTATGGGATCTCTTTTCTGTCCTGAGCTGCAAAAGCCCACAAAAACGTCTCAGGTGGGCCGCTGACATGTCACAGCTTTTGCCAGACATGATAGCAGATTCAAATAACTTAAGATCACTGACTGATCCATTGGATCAGCACGGCCAATCTTCCAGAAGTGAAGGGGCACGCCAATCCGGGGGGATGTTTTTGTTCTTCTGGCTGTGGGTCAAAACCCTCAACCATGCCAAATATGTCCTTTGGTTCGATTCCTTTCGATCCTGGCCATCTCTCACCCCTCCAGCCCGATCGACTCCGTCAGAGCGATCACAAAATAGGGGCTACCCCTCGACGCTTGAAAGAGCCTTTTTGGCCGTGAATGGGGATCCTTGGGGCATCGAATTGGAGTGAAAGTCGGTGCATCAGCTGTCCCACCTTGGGTGATGACAATCACGAGCACAAACGAGGAACAACACTAACCACGTAGTACCACTTAGAGCAGTACATCAGGACTTCCTTGAGGAAAATAGACTGGGCAGTTTGATATCCCTCAGCGTTTTGCGGGGCGCTGGCTCCGTGGGAATCGGTGGTGGTGAGGCATCATCACGCGCCCGCGGTGCGCGCGGGGCCGCGGCTGCGGCTGCGGCTCGTCTCACCGCGGGGTCGACGAGATACTTCGTCAAATCCTCCGTGCCAGCCGCCGGTGTAAACTCGGCGATGTCGTATGGGCCCACCCAGCCTTGAAGGCCTGTGTCATGATAGATCTTGTAAGAACCATCCACAGCATCCTGAGAAGTCGAACATGAAAGCAAGCAGGCTTCTGTATACCATATATATGTATATATGTTGATCTAAGCAAGATACGTGCAAACCATGTACCTAGCTCAAAGAAAGGACGCGGCCCTTTTGCGAATGCGATTCGGCTCTGTGCGCACCTTGTGCCGCGACGGCGTCGGATCATTTGACTCAGGTGCTGGGGTTCCTCTTGGGGTCTTGACTGAACTTCACATTCCCAATACTTTGTTGAGTCAAATGGGCCTTCGCTGCATCACGGAGCTGGATCCATGGCCTGTACAGCCAACAACGAAAGTCTCCAGCAGCTTGTCGTTGAGATTCGTAAGGGCGTCTGCCCATTGCAAGGTCGTGGGGACCCAGAACATGTCCTCCCTGCCAACGAACTGTTGCATCCCCCTGACCACAACTATGGTCCTCTTGTCTTCTGTGCGGGGGTTTTCGCTCACGAGGATGTCGTATAGACTGCAACAGTCCGTGACAGCGATGATTCTGTGGACCCTGCTCAGCTTGAAGCTTGGTTGCTTCTGCAAGACCTCAGCCATCATGTAGGCCAAAAAGGAAGCTCTCTCGATGCTGGTGTCAGCGGCGCTCGACTCGGCCGACAGGCTGGATCGACAGATCCTTGCGGATCGTGAACTCTTCCAATCCAACAGAAGCCCTTGGCTCACGGTGTCGGTGGCCTTTGGTTCAGCGAGCGTGATCAGTGAGCCATGCTGTGAGGCTGATCCGGCTGCGTTAGCCCAACTGCTGTCTGAAAAACTCACAACCAATGTATGTGCATTCAATGCAACAGGCCACATGTTGATTCCGACGTCACTGCTCTGGTGGAGGTGCTGTACCGCATTGTACATGTTCTGGAGGTCCTGGTAAGTGGACTTGGCACCTTTGCTGCACAATGACACTGTGCTCGCAATGTCTGGACGTGTTTGTCCTGCCAGCCACTGCAGGCAACCCGCCACACTGCGGTATTCCGGAAGGTCTTCCGGCTTCAGCGTCTCCTCCAAGCGGCCTTTGCAGCGAACATTTCCAACCTGCATGCCGGCAATGAAACTGCTCTGTGTGAGGGACACGTAGTACTGCTTCCCATCGTGTCGGAGGTGAATCTCCTTTCCCTTGAAGGTCAGGGAGTTGGTGACCGACAGGGTCTCTTGCGTTCCCCACTTGAACAGGTTGGTGAGCTCTGCCCTGTTCCAACGCTGGTTGTGGCACAGCAGAAAGTCGTCCACGTAAGCCACAAGAATGGCCACAAGTGACTCATGCTGGTCTCCTGGCAACTTGCTGTACTTGAAGAACAGCATCTTGTCCAACGTGTGCTGTTGGAAGCCTGCCTCGTTGACCAATGTCTTGACGACATGCATGGTCCATGTGCGTGGTGCACTGGCAAGTCCGTAAATGTTGCCAACTATCTTGTACAGCGGGGCCCGGAATGTTCCAGCAAGGGAGGTTACTCCGTCCTGTGGCGGACGCAAGAAGAGTGGCAGTTTCCGGGGTTCCGGAGTGCCCTGCAAAAAGGCGGTCTTGATGTCGCCGCACCACAAATGCCAACTGTCGGAGCCGTCGAGGAGCATGTGGTTGACTCCACAAGTGAAAAAGGCATAGACCATGTATTCAGCTTGTCTGGTGGGAGTTGCGCTCTCTCTTGACAGCTCTCTCAAGTCAGGGTCTAAATGACCCAGGGCAACAACACGACACTTGGCCTTGATCGGGCCCTGGCCTTTTGCTTTGTCCCGATAGGCCGCTCTTGCCTTGAGGATTCTCTTGGCCAGAACGGGATCCTTGAAGACCTGTTTGGCTTCTTCACCGGAGCGTGGAATCACGGAGTTGAACTGATTCCATGAGCTCTCTTCAGCCTGAGCTGATTTGACATATTCTTGGACGATGTGAGGCTCCATCTCCATGATTGCCTGCCATGGCACTTCTTTGTCAAGAGCCTTTTGCTCCTGTCTGGTGAGTGCTCTGTTGACCTTGCCGTTGCCTGCTTTGCTGAGTGTGGGTTGTCCTGCTGACATGTCGTCAGCAGAGGCATCTGAGTCGCTTGACTGTCCGTCGCCTGCGTACTCTGGTGATACTCTGTATGCTTGGAAGGCTATGCGGCAGCTGTATGGCATGTGGATGTGTTCTGTGCCGTCGTAGTGTGTCCTGCTGCTGAATGCCGTCTGTGCTGACCACAAGGTTGTAGTAGTCGGCATGGTTGTCGTGCCAAAGCTCCGTAATGATATCGGTGCGCTGTGGAAAAAGGTGATGACCTTGCTGATCATCGGAGTAGGGTGCATCCCAAATAAGCTTGCCCTCTGGGTATGTAAGCACCCGTCTGTGCTTGATGGACCATTTGGGCGGTCCACAAAAATGTGTGGTCTGCAAGACCTGTGCTGCTGTGTCTCGACGTGCCCAGACCTGTAGTGTGTGGTCTGCTGCTTTTGCCATGTTTTTGTAGCCGTGCAAGTGGTATGTGTCCTGGTCGATCTGCTGCTGCTTGGTGTGCTGCTGCAGTAGTGCTTTGTAGGATGGTTGAGACGGGATCGGTTGTTCCATCTCTGTGCTTGCTCTCTTGTTGCTTGGTGTATCTCCGGCAAGTTCCGGAGGTGTTGTAGGCACAATGGATCCAAGCGCCGGATCCTGTGTGTCTGGTATGGCCTCTATGTCGATGACTTCAGGCATCACAGACGATGGTAGACCTGGTGTAGGTGCTGATGGTTGATCAGCCTGTTCTTGAGGTGGTAGAAGAGGTTGCGCCGATGTGGATGCTGCGGCTTGTCCTGCAGCATCGCCCAATGCTGGTGTTGTAGGTTGGCCTCGAATGGATCTGGGAGTCCTGGATGCGGGTGTACGAGACCGGTGTTGTTTCCGCACTGGTGCATTGACTGGAGGCTGCATCCATTGCTCGGGTGTCATGCCGAAGCTGTGTTGTGACTGAATCACTGTCTTGTTGTATGTAGGTGAGTGCACGTTGAGGTGGTACTCAACTGATGTGTTCTTTGGGTGCAGCTCATATGGGTCGGTTTGCACTGCCTCCTCTGCCTGGTCTGCTGCTGCGGTCGCTGGTTCGGACGGTGGTGGTACTAGATAAGTAAGGTATATCTGGCGCCGGCAGATCGGGTACTGCTTCAAGCTGGTCATGTCCCAAGGGTTGTTCTGGATCCTCTGGTGGCTCTGGAATGGTTTCATCCTGTAGGATGCCATGTTGTAGGTTGTCTGCTGCAGCTCGAAGTTGCTTGATCTGCTCGTAGTCTGGGTTCCAGCACTCAAAGCCCCTTGCGGTCCTGAGCTGGTGTGGTGCGACACGGATGGTGGTGTTCGTGCCGGCCTGGAGCCAGAGACTCTTGCCATCTGGGTCTCTTCCGAGGAGTCTTGCCAGCTTGTAGCCTTCTCTTTTCTTGCCGCTGCGGGCTGTCCACCGCCAGTAGGCGACTGTGCTTCCGATCTCCGGAATGTCGGATGGACCCGGAGTGGTGTTGCGAAGTAGTGCTCTTCGCAGTGTGCTGTCAATGGACATGGCGGCCAACTGCTGTTGCGCTTCAGCTCGTATGGTGTCTGCGAACTGTTGTGCTTGTGACCTGGTCTGGCCTGTGATGAGGCCGTGTGGGTCGCTCAGGAGTTCAAGGCCTTGTCTTGCTATGCGGCCAAATGCTGCAACATATGGTGGCCTGCCAGTCGACCATGTGCAGCTGTTCTTGGCGTGAGATGCCATGGCTGTGACTATGTCCATCTGGTCGTAGCCAGTCACGCCCTGTGCGTCCACGATGCGCTCCATCAGTGAGCGGTACGTGGCATTGTGTCTCTCCACCAATCCTCTTGTTGTGTGCCTCTGCTGGGATGTAGTCAACATACACTTCAGCTTCGTCCATGGCATCCAGCGGAATGAACCGTCTGGGTCGGTTCGAAGCCTGAGAGGGAAGCCAAATGGGCGAGCCCATGCAAGCATGAACTTCTTGGTGACTTCCTCTGGTGTTCGATTGGCCAGTAGGGTGCCGACATGCAGGTGTGTGACTTCATCGATGATGCCGAGTACCAGGTAGTTGGTTCCTTTGACATCTCGCACGGCGGTCTGGTCTGGAAGTCCTCCGCCAGGGTCAGGTCGAGCTGGTCCTTTCGTGCGCTCGCACGAGTTGCACTTCATGCCCTCGACTGCACTGTAAATGGCCTGGTTGCTCACGCCATTCAGTGCGAGCAGCTTCTTCAACTCTGCTGCCGAGGGTGACCCAAGTTCTTGTGCATCCTTTTGACCGCCAGCTTGATCTCAGCCGTCAGCTTGAGCTCTGGCGGAAAGGTGATCTCATCAGCATCTTTTCTCACAAGCCGCAATGGATCATCTTCTTGACTCTGTGAGGGATGTAGTTCCTGAGGTTGAAACTGCTGTGGATCTTGAGTTCCAAGGCTTGGATCTGATCGAGGTCGTTTGGAAGCTGATGGCGTGACCTCTGCTTCTGCGTTGTTCTGACCAAACATGAAGATGGCCAGCTGAACGGGCTTGGTGAAGCGAGCCCGTGGGTGCCTTAGTTTGCCAAGGTCTTCTTCAATGACCTCCATCGTGCCATCTGTGTATCGCATGGCTGCGGCCCGATGTGTATGTGGTACATGTGTTGGGAATCGCCATGTGATGGGCTGCCATGCAATCTGGACACGTTCCATGTGATTCCATTGGGTCAGTTCCCATGCCTTCTTGAAGAGTGGGTCTGACACTGGGAGGACGAACTGCTTGTAGCGGGTGGCCTGGAAAGTGGAATTTGCTATATCCAAGGCTTCATTCCAGGCCTCAGTGGAAGTGGTCATATACACCGTGGCTGGTTTGCCGTGGTGGTTCTGGAAGCGATCTGGAAAGCGGGTGATCACTTCTTCTTGGATAGCTCGGAGAATCTCGGTCACCATGCCTGGAGGATACTCTTGTGATCGAGTAGTCTCTTTTCCTTCCAGTGGGACACAAAGACGTTGTTCTTTAGAAGAAAGCTTCCTCTGAAGTCTGGCCAGAACGTGCTGGCAGTTGCCCATGAACCGG